GATGGGAACGTAAACATTAACTTCCCAACTGAGCAGAAAAATGCGCCGCTAGTTCGACGATGCAAATAGTCTGCAAACAACTGGGAATAGAAACTACAGTCTCGATAATTGCAACTGTCGAGCGAACGGAGTTTGTAAATGCCAATCGGGAAATTCCTGCAGCGGCATTCCAACAACAGGGAAAATCATCGTTTGGTTTATGCATTTCTTGAATCATTTACTGGTCTTCGATGGAACTATCATGGAAGCTACAATTTAATTAATTAAGTTACTACAGGCAAAATAATTAATTATTCAAAGAAACTTTCGCAGGCTACTGTAATGCTTTTTACAAAACTTCTGGATTCCTCCTACGTCGGTTTTTGCTTAGTCGAAATTGCTGACTGACTCGTATTTTACTCTGTACCTGCTTATATATTGCTTGGGGGGGAGGCTCTAATGAGGGGTATAAACACCGTCTCGGATGACTGATTCCCAAATTGGTGACCAATAGAGACTTGAGTCGCGATTAAGATTGTTAGGTTGTTTATAGATTTTATAGACTCTCGGATTTTCGTTGGTAGAAGAAATGATTTGTGTTCTTTGAACCTAGTTGATATTTTTCGTGCGGTCTTTCCAATGTATTCTTTGCCGCATATGCATGCAATGCTGTAAACTCCTGGCGTATCAAATGGAATTTTGTCTTTGACGGACCGCAGATGTTGAGAGATTTTTGGACAAGTGGTAAATCTGGTTTTGACGTTATACCTCCTCAGAACTTTTGATATATGGTCAGTGATGTTTTGAATGTAAGGAAGGACTACAGTTTAATATTTTTAATGTGGAAATTCTTAGAGAGGAGAGCAGAGGTAAGGTGTTTTAATTCTAAATTAAATTCTACGCTGCCTCGCCCCACCCTCCCCTATTTATAATGTTTTCCAATCTCAAAATATTTTCTAGCTCCCTAAAGTAGGGTCACCCCATTGACTCCCTTAAATTGTCTACTCTGGAGCAGTAAATTTTGGATGAATGTTTTCAATACTGAGCCTTTAATAATTTTTAACTATTGATAAAAGTTTACGTAGCAGGCGCAAACATATGAATTGCAATTGATTTATGGCCACATAAAACAAACAGTAAAACCTTAAAAATCATCAATCATGATAAACTCAATAAGCTTTTTCACCTGAAGTCCAGTTGATGTTCTGCATAATTGCTAAGCGAAATCACAAGAGTTTGAACAATTACATTTCCTGCTACTGGGGAATATAAAATAATATTGATTGAAATGAATACTAATAACGTTTAGGTTAAAAAGGAGAAATGTTCCATATACATTACTCGATGTACTTATCTGGGACTTATCTGTTTAGGTAAAAAAAAGGAATTCGAAAAGACATATAGTTTGATTATTGAACCAAGTGAAAAATTTTGCTCTTTAATACCGGCGCCATATTAGGATCATAGCTACCTATTGTAATTATTTTTTAATTGTCAAATGTCAACAGTGCTATTGTACAACCAAAAGTATTGTGCAATTATCGCTTTGATTAAGCATTGCCGGGTGTTTTCGAATAAAAGCGTTTATTTTAACATCAGGTGATAGGTATCGTTCTTAAGAGTTGTGATCCTTCGTGTACCTGATTCTCGAACTTTGGCCCTGCGAGGCTGTTTTCACTGCATAGTTCAAAGGATAATGAAAATAATCATTTTTGCCTTGTGTGCCTGTCGGTTTCCAATATTGTTCTTCTTGTATTTTTGTGTCTTCTACATAGTTCTTCGATTTGTAAACAACAGTTTTTTTCTAAGACTACAGATTGTATATTTAACCCGATTGAGATGATTTGGTCTTAGTTGAAAGCGCACATAAGACGAAATAACACCGAACCAAAATTGAGTGATAGTTCCAAAAACGTAATTCGGCAAGAAGTAGCTAAAATATCAGTACAAAGCTGGTGTAACTGTGAAAAACGAATAATGAAAGAAGAAAATATTTATCGAGAATGATTAGTGGCAGGGTTGATCATTGAACTAGGTCACGACAGTAGCGATAGTGACGATTTTTTAAGTGACTGATACTTTATTATTATTATATTTATTATTTTGTATATTAATAATGATACTATCTAGAAATGTAATGAAGAACGTAAGAAATTGTTACTTTGTACTATTTTTTTATGTGCATGTTTCAAGAATTGCGCGGCGAAAAAGGTTGCAAATATACTTATATCCCGCTTGTAAGTGTAAGTAGGACGATCATGGAATGGTTATGGGTAAGGGTCTGCTCGGCGGAGTGTTCTATAAGGGGCTCTTATTAATTACCGAGTTGGTTGTAATAACACAATAGTTCTGGTCATGGTATAAGGAAGTCAGCAACAGTGACGATTCACGTTTGAGAACCTGGTATAATATTGAGAACAAAGCGAGCAGAAAGGGAAGCTGAACAGAAGACAACCGCAAAGGTGTTTAATAGGAGAATTGCCTGTATCTAATAACAAATAAATGGCGAAACGCGGTCGAATCACGCCGTGTATCCGTTTCGAATTGCCGTAGCTACACAAAACGTTAACGCCGGCGGACAAAGAGATAATAAATGTCAATTAAGCTGACGCGAAGCTAAAATAAGCTTAACTTCGAACACGGACAATATAAATCGAATGTTAGCCCCCGTTGCGTCTTTATATAACTCCGAAAATACTACCCCCGGACGAGCTTTCATTTTATTTTTAATTTAGTATATTTTTTAATTTCCCACGTGATCTCGTATTTGCGCTTCTTTGTGCAAACATCCGTTAGTGAGTTTCGGAGGAAATTTATGGAAAATGGAATATGCGAAGAGATTAAAAAGACCCTTAAATAAACATCAAGAGAAAATATTTAAATAATTAAATAAATATATTAAAATGAAAACAATTAGAATAAAATGGACGGACGGAGATTTGTTTACACTTTATCCTAGCAAAGGATTATGTTTATTTTTTTATATTAATTTAAAATCACGTATTATTTTTATTTAATACCAAAGTTCATTAAGAATCCATCCAACCCAACCAATATTTCAATTATATAATATAAATCTATTGATTCTGCTCCTGCAGAAATTACGAATAGGAACCCACTCATTCTCACTCCTTTGTCAACCTAATGGTTCACAAAAACACACTTAATAAAAACAATATTTGTCTATGCCGAAAACTGATCACGCTAGTCATCTTTGTATTTTGCAACTAGAATATCAAATATCATAGGTTGAAATATTTACCGAATTTAGTAAAACGAAAAAAGTTATGTACAACATTCTGAATTTAAAAAGCGAATTTCTGTTTATCGACAAATCAAATAAAATTGAAATCTTAAATTATTTCCTAAATGCTTTGAGTGCATCACAAATTGTGCGCTTAGAATATGATTGCCGTCAGCTTGTCAGGCCCCTTTTTGTAACAGTAGTTAGCATATCTGGCGGATAGACAAACGCATTTATTTTATATTACATACGCCAACATATGCTTCTTCTAAAACTGAATACATTGCACGTCATCAAAACTTCAGGTTAGTGTTGATAGTTTCATTTGACTTTTATAGTTAATGTATAATAAATTGATTTTTGAAGAGTTTTTGCTAACTTGCTGGTTGACAGATATTTTTCCACGTATTTGATTATTTTTAAGTCTAAAATCTTATAAGTAGAAAATAAAATTATAAAAATGGTAAATAGTCCGTACAGTTGTTGATCTGTTGCTGCTGTAAGAAAAGGTAGTTGTAATCAGTTGGTTCATATCCGAAAAGCACTGTTATTTTTCTAGTAACATGCCATTACCAATGCAATATTCTAGAAATAATCCTAAAAATAGTCCTAAAATCCCCTGCAGTAAAGCGTCGTTGTGCAAAGAGATACTGTTATAATTTATAAATATTGTAATAAAAATAGAAAATATTCTTAGTACTATACTAGGATGGAACTCCAGAAAACGCAAGGAATGTAGTATGAAGTATGAAGGTAAGGAGTTATGCAAAGAATTATAAATATTAAAAGAATTAAGCTATAAAACTCTTCCCTCTACCGATTGCCATTCGGTTAAGACTATTGTAAAAATATATCTTCTGGGACAACATATAACTTTGTTTTCTTTGCTGTCGAAACTAAAAGTCCCTAAGCACTTTATTTAAATAAATTCAAGAAAGGTGATCCAAGACGAAGCTGCCAAATTTTTGTTATTTTTAAAAGTACACATGTAAGAAAATACAGAAGGTCTTTTGTTTTTACAGATAAAACCAATGTTTGAAAATACTTGCTTCTTGGCAGCACTATGGTAGTAAAATTTTTCTGTTCCTTCAAAATATACATTTATAGTTAAATCATAGTTCATGTTGGCGAAAGCAATGTCTTATTGATTAGTATAAATTATCATATTTCCATCCATCCATCAACAATTCAATAAGAAATATACTCACTTACAGTGCCAATTTTTTGTTGATTAGTATTGGTTGAAGCTTTCAGAGCTGCTTTATTCCAACGAAATATTTACGAACTTGCGTTTCCTACATAAACATGATAAAAACTAAAGATAAATAAACTAGATTTTGTTTAAGTCCGCCTGTCAACTTTTATCCTCTTTGAAATGAAAATTAATTTCCGAAACTTTTAGCCAATTTTGCCGTGGAGGAAATATTAATAGTTCAGTTCTTTAATTTAACGGATCACCGAAGTTTTGCAGGCAGTTTGTGGAAGGGATTTTCTCCTAGCAATATAGTTTAGATAAATAATACAAGGTGTTTCAAAGTTTTGTGGAGAGGTTATAGAGATATAATGTACTGGATATTTTTGTCTTATATTTTAAATAATAAAAGTGAATAATATTGTAATATTGTAAGTGTTAAACTCCTAAGATTTTTTAAACCTACAACCTTAACCTCAAACCTCAAACTTTTACGGATATTGCTACAAATATAAATAATATGGAGAAACCTGAGCGTACAGGTTTCATAAATTTAATGGCCTGCATCCCTTGTTCTTATCTTACCCCATCCAAATTTTGCAAAAGCGTCTTAGATTTTGGCTCTGAAATAAAAAAGAGGAGGTAATTAATCATAAAGACAACAAATTGTAAATAATTTCAGTCATCGGAAAATAAACTTATTTTAATAACAATAATAATAATAATTTTAATAATAACTGGGACGCTGCATAAATCAGACAGTCATTTTCGAGTAAGTTTAAATGAGCATTGTGCACATTCGTCTGCAAAGTCAGGAAAATACTTTTGTGGAGATGCTTCTATCAAGCCTAAAAGTGGCTCGTCAAGACATTCTGTTGCCTAACATTGAACCGGAGGTATTTGGCCATGGAATATGGCGGCCAACATAGTGGAATTAATGACGATTAGATATTTTTTCGTCATATATTTAAAATGCAACATAAATGTATTTATTTTGTGCAAAACAAAAGCTTAGTTTTGAACTTGGTAATCTCGAATGACCAACAAATACGTCAACTAAAGTGTTTGAAGAATTTGCCCCAATTTTTTTTTCGAAGATGCTTAATTTGTAATTACAATTAAATTTAAAAAATTACTTTTCATCAATCAACTTAAGGAGAATCATTTCTAATGGAAGTAAGATCTGGCGTTTAGTTTTTTCATGTAATGGAATATTAAAACGAATGCCAAAACCATGTTTTTGCCCGCATCGGGATAAATCGATTTTGATGTTACTCGATAGGGAAAACCAGGACATTGTGTATTTTACTGATTCAAATATCGTAAATAATTAAAGGTATCTGCCGTTTCCATCCCCATACTTTGCGTCATGCAATTTTCTATACCCGCGTTGCTTTAAACATTCTGATATTTAATTAACAGTATTTCAGAAGATTTGGTAACTCCAGACTGTAATAAATTCCTAAGTTATCAGGATATTCTTTCGTTGCAAAAACTAAATGTGAAATATGTGTTTTTATTCTAGATATATAATTTCATCGCCGTAAGAAACAATTAAGTTAGTTACCGACAACCAACGAGATTCTACACCAACCGTTAAAGTTTTATTTTTATGACATAGTTTCTCTCCTCCTAAACCGCTCCAGCTTCGACAAACCGAATTAAAACTTTGCGGATCGTATTCGGCAAAAGATAAACCCTTTTTAATATCTGTCGCCTTTTATTGCGGTGCAACTGGTCCCAAACCGAAGGCAATCTATTTTAGACTTGCGTCTTTGTCCTTCGCAGTCTGAGCGGCCAATAAACTTCGTGTCTCACATTTCAATTTTGTTATTATAGTTCGGGCGTGATTTCCAAACTGACGGTTTGCTGCGTAACTGCCTGTGTAAAAGCAAAAACATTCTTTTGAGCAATAATTGCGATTATTACATCATTAACAACGTCAACGCTAGGTCATATCTGAATGTTGATAGTTAACGAGTACAAAATGTTTAACAAAAAATGGTTAACGAGTACAAAATGCTAGTTTTTTTTCTAAAATAATATGAGAAATCTGGAGTAACCGATTTTATATTTTTCAATTATGAGTTCCTGGACATACCCTTGCTTGCAACCCATCATTGATTTGCGATCTAACCTTACAAATGGCAACTGGCGCAGGTTTCAAAATTTAAGAAAACAACCCAAGATATCATGTTTTGAAATTTCCTTACTTCTCTTAAGACACCCCTGTAGAGAGCTGAGTAACTATATTGCCCTAAGCAGTCAAGTAGTTTTAGCAATATTTCTGCCAAAAACTATAACTCTGCTTTAACAAGAAAATTGACTATAAAGTTTTCCAAACGACCTTGATATTCATAATTTTCTTATATATTTATGGGACATCCTGTATAAGTGAAAATTTGATGGTATGCATCATAGGCATGTGTAACTTTCTAATTTAACAGTTTTTTCTATCAAAAAAGATTTCCCAGATATTAACCTTGTATAGGAACATATATTATATAGAACATAAAATAGACACATAAAACAAAAAACCTATGCATGCTAAAGAAAGTCCTGTGTGTGGAAATGTTAAAATCTATAGAAGAAAATGATATACTCCGTATAGAGCGTAATTAGTTCGGTTTCAGAAAGGGCACTGCAACTCAATTGTCGACATGACCGTTTTTGTTAATCAGCATCAATATCTGTTCAAGTCATAACTTCAATTGAAGCTTTTGAAATTCCGATTATATGCAACAATAGCTATTTTGGTGCAAGTGACCAAAAAAAGCTTTTCCCTCACGCCTACGGTGATAAGTCAGAAAAGCGGAGCGGAAGAAAAAGACTACTTGTTTGGACATACATTGCCTTTATTTGAATTATTGAATTATGAAATGAGTATTTTTAGCAACTTGTTGCCCATTAAATATATTTTTTACAGTTGCTTTCAAGAACTCATAAAAAGCACTCGTCTTGCTCGTCATTCCATGTTTTATTATGCGAAACTGGTGTTTTTTTATTCACAGACGCATATCTATTATTTGGCCTGATAGACTAGTGATAAAACTAACCAATTACACGCTTGACCGTTTTTCCTCTCTTATGTTGAAAAGTAAAAATTACCAGAATTTGCTTTCCAGAGGTGTTCAATTTTCGATAAATTGAGAAACAAGCTCCGAAGCCCTACCATTTACAGGAACCAGATTTATCAATATCTTGTAACCTAAATAGGTCCACTCATTCTGCAGTAAGGCAATCTACTCGGATTAGGCGAGTCAACTGTATCTAATAACAGATTTTTTTTTGTTAACCATTTACGAGTCACACATATACATGAATGAAATAGCAATATGTCCAAGCACTGTGTCATTCACAGTCACCATAGGACGGGTCTTGGATTGATTGTACAAAATCATTCATGGTGCACCCATTTCTTCTGCCAACACTATATTTTTTTACAAACTTAATTCTATACAGTACATCAGAATGTAGTCGTATCATTTTCTCAATATAGTTCAAATTTTTAATGATCTTTGTGTCTTAAATGATCGTAATAGCCAATAAAGAATTAAAGAATAAATTTTATATTTCAGGTACTCAAAGGTTGACAATAGTTTGCAATAATTTAAATTTGGAAGTTTGGAAATTTTAAAACATATATCTTCTAAAATTGTTGATGAATAAAGTCAAGTGGCTTGCATAATGTTTTTGGAAATTCTCTGAAAAATGTCGGATATTGATATAAAACTTTAATTTTATTTAAAAGAAAAGAGTTCGAACTAAACCCCTATGAAAACTCTAAATTTTAATTTGTCAGATTTTATGTCTATATTTCTAAGTGTTTCATTATCCAGAATTCAGAATAGGGCATTGATGCCAAAATAATTATAACCATTTTAATTAATTGGAAAAACTTCTTCAATCGAATGTTGATTGCATTATCGAGCGACAGATCTCGAAACGGCTTTTGACTTATTTTAATAAGATAAGTAGATAGATTTTTTGTGAAATGACCCAACGCAAATTGTCTAACCCGATTCTGTGTTAACCTAGAGGGACCTTTTGAGGTACCCCTATATCTCTTTTATTTGCTAAAGATTAAGTATACGAAGGCAGTACAAAAAATTATCTCGCTCTGTGTAAGTCATTTCAGTTTCCAATTGTCATAATTTCGTACACACGTGTACCATATATTATCTAACAAAATGAACAATCAAATGGAAACCTATTGAATATTTTGTAAAGGAATTATGCCCCCGTATGTTCGCAAGTTCCTTTAAAGGAATTAAACCAAATAAACTAACAATTTCCAGTAATCTCGGTAATGAATCATTTGATATTAGTTAGCGATGCGTGATGAACCGATTCGAATTCGGCTAATAAGCAATATCTGATTTGCATAATCAATAAACGAGCACGTTAATCCACTTGCCATTTGTCCCGACCAAAATACTCATCTTTAAAACTATAAACCGATATGATTAATGAATCACAGATTAATGAATCAAAGAAGTTCTCAACATCCCATTTGGATAAAATATGTTGTTACGCTTTCGCAGTTTCATTTGCGGCATTTCTAAGATCTTGAATGTTATTTAGTTTGCTTCCTATAGAATATCGAAAGAAACTATACCTATAGAATAAATAAAATTATTTAACATGAGAAAGTTTTTATATTCTTTTCATAGGGAAATTTGAACTTCATTTTGGATGCGTACCTTTAATTTTACCATAAAATTTACATTTCATTGGTAAATATTAAAATATTCAATATTTACATTGATGCTACTATTATGTAATAATTCGATAACCCTTATTTATTTTGGCTCCGAAAACATTTATTTATTCATTCCACTCGTTCAATTTTAATTTAGTATTCCGCTAATGTAGTTCTGCAGCACAAAATTTTTGCACGCGTGTTTATTTTAATCGACAGGCACTGCTGTAGATTCCACTGTATAGAAAAAACTTTGCGCTAATAAATCCAAGACAAACTGTAGCTTTGAAGTGAACATCAATATCCTTTAAAGCAAAAAAAATGTGTAGAACATTCCCGGCAATCTAACAAAGGAATTGATATAGTATAGCCCAATGGTCCAATTAAAATACTAATACTCGTCTTCAAAATTACCAATCTACTCAATACATCGACAACATTCCATTAGGACCATTTTTTTTATTTAAATAGTAGGCGTTGAATAGCCGATGACAGTACGAGTTCGAATCACATACGGGGAAAAACAAATTAGATAAAGATTTCAAGACAATGCAGAAAGAAGAACAGGTATCCCATAGGAACATAAGCTACGTTCAAAGCTAATTAATATACTTAAAGGTGGGCTTAGTGGCTTTCACAGCCCTTGCTGGGTTTTAAATGACAAGTGGAAACAAAATTTAGAAAAGTATCCAGAAAATGTGACTTGTGAGTGTAGGCACTTCAACTGGAATTTTAAAGAGTCCATTTTGATACTACTGTGCCCGACTAGGGGTGCAGAGTAAAAGTAGGCACACTCCATGACGTCAGTAACAATGGAGCTTTACCAGAAGATCTAACCAGCCTCCCATAAATTTAATATTCTATTATGCATTTAATATCATTGGTGCAAACTAGCGCTTATGTTGCACTGACTAGGCTAAA